GGGTCATATCGCCCAGCCCTAATTGAAAGCTCTTCAAAAAGTGAACAAAGATTCTTCACTGTTTTTTCTGATTGTAAGCTCAACATTTTAGGTTTCTGAGTGCAGGACAGGGTGGAGAAGAGAAGGGAAATATGATAATGGACCTTTTAAATGATTATAGATTTGAAAGAAAAAAAAACATCTGACACTGGCATTGAGTCTTAAAATAACTGTTGTTTGTCATTTTTTCAAGTTTTTGGGTGTTCACTACTTGACCTACAGAAACAACAACAACAACAACAACAACTAAACTTGCCTTAAAACAACTGAGCCAGTCCTCTCCTTTAAGATCAGGGTCATATGATGGCTATTAAAGTAGATAAAATATGTCAAATTAAATTAAGTGATATATAGTAAACCTTTATGGCCTCTGGGTATTTGCTTGGTTGGTAATTCAGCCTCAAACATCAACTGCTGCTACAAACGTGCAGCTGTCTTTATGTATAGTCGAATGCATTCAAGCTTCTACTATGGGGAAAAAAGAACAGCTGTACAGCTCACAGAAACAGGACAACAGCCAGCACTACCATGAGCGTTACTGTGCACGTCAGAGTATTTAACATCAATGCATGAGATACTGTTTAAGTTAGCAGCTCAATCATTGAGATTATTGTTAATTTATGAATCAATCTAATGGTACTTCTGCTATGTATGACAAAAGAAATTTTCTTCTCATTCATATGTCAAAACTCAGTCATCTTGCTGTTGTCATCAAAATACAAACTCAAATCTTCTTAGTCTAAAGAGAATAAGTAGAGGTCTAATCCAGGGCCTTGACTTACATATTTAAACAAACCTGTAGAGGTTAAGGGCAGGAAGAATACAGCCTTCTAATCAAATATAGAGAATATTTATATTACAAAGAGAAATATAATAAGAAAGATTAGGATCTTAATACTGTGGATGCTTAATCAGTATCCACACTAATAAATAAGACAAGAGCTAAGCCTCGTCCAATAGTTAGTTTACAACATTGGAGAAAACCAGATAACCCTCACATTTGAGGAGATGAAGCCAGACAGGGAATAATATCAGCATTCCCTTAGTGAGAGATTATGTAAGGTGTTCCTGTGATGTTGAATGCAGGGCACAACAATCTATATGTACACAATGTAGATCTTAAATGAGCAGGGACCTATTCTAGGTCTTTAAATTACTTTAACTGCACAGACAATCAAATATCTAACGGAAACCTAAAATTATTTCCCCATTCTTGCCTGTATCTGTGTACTTCCCAATATTTATAGATGAATACAACATTTTTTTTTCAATTCTGATAAAATGTAGATGATAAGTTTCTTTTTTTGTTGTTCTTGCTTTACACGATTACACATAACAGACACACATGGGCAGGGATTTAACCCAGATCTTCCATTTACTCAGTCTTGCCAAGCTTATTCTATTTTACAGCAACAGAGAAAACCAGAAAATCCTCACATTTCAGAAGGTCAAGCCTGAAATGATCAAACCGTCTCACAGGTAGGCTGCAGAAGCAGGGTCTTCTTGAGAGAGTAAGTGCAGAGGAAAATGGTCTTTTTCCCTAATTGGGTCATTAGATCAATTCTGAATCTAAACAACCTGAATGCAAATCAGGGGCTTAATTTTGTCGGATTCTGATTTTTCATGTATGTGTAGAGTCAAAATAACCTAAATACTATTACACCACCATATTTAAGCCCACAGCAGGCAGCCCCCTGAGAGAAATGGGTTTTGTGGCATGTTAGGATAAAGATGAGGGTGTAATAAAGGAAGGAGTGGTGCGTGATTGTCGTCTGTTTGTCCTTGTGCAGCGCTAATCCCTTTTGCTAATCTCCCAGCACATGGGGAACTACTTTCTATTTTACACCCCGCCATTCATAAATCCGTGATACCTTGTTTTATTTGGTTTATTCTGCCATTAATTTTGCCTCCATCTTTCTTAATCAACTAAAAATAAACCTGTCGTCCTCACTGTGGCGATGACAAACAGTTAGCCTTGCTTCTATGGAGATCATTCTACCACTAAATACATTTCATTTATGGAAAATAATTTAATTAATAAATGCACCAAAAATATGCATTAATCAACCATAAAGCTGGCAGCAACCAATGTGCATTGGACATGGAGATAGACCAGCCTCCATCTATAGTACATTTAAATGGTAAAATCACATTTAAAATCAGGAGAATTTCCACTAGACTTTTAAGACATCAGCACTCGCCAAAATAAATCCATTTAATTTTGATTGCACTTTTTTTTTTTATTCATTTCGACTGCAGAGCAAATTCTCAAGTTTGCAATCAGTCGGCATCGAAATATATCTCGCTGCCGACTAAACTAACTCGTTATAGATGAGCTTCATGGTGGGGTTAACAGACTAGGGCGAACCTTAAATTGACAGATTTTTGAATGGGGTTTGGTGTACGTGACCGTGACACCTACCCACGGTTAGCTAACCTCACGCTAGCTAATTTAGTGCCCCCAAACGCCTTACCTTGTGCAAACTGAACTCTGTATATCTCGCTGTACGGTTAGCTGGATCATAGAGGCATCCGAGTTAGGCTCTTAACTCCCAATTAACGGTCGGAATCACGGTGCCGTTAGCCCGCTAGCAGCCCTCTGTAGCCGGCGGGTTGCTGCTGCTTCGTGTATGGCTCCTCCTTCCAGGAAATGAAGGAAGAAGTTGCTCAGTTTTGCCAGAGCCGATGTAGGAGAGACGCTCCACATCCTACTAATCCCGTAGCACAAGAAATTGGTGAACTCAGCCGCCGAAGCACCAGGGGGCGACAATCAGATACTTAGTAGTGAAGCGCCAAAATGTGATTCTAAACAAGCTTCCCATTTTAGATTAGTTTCCAGAAACAAAGCATTTTATAATGTGTCCAAAATTAAATAAAAGAACATGGCCTTAAGTTTTTTTTCTTACAGGAATGCTGATTTTCCCTTTCATATGTTAGAAAGTCATCATCCAGAGAACGTATTTTCATCAAACTGTGGTTACAACAGCAGCAGAGCTCACCACAATATGGACAACAGACCAAAGGAAACAAACAAACAAACAAATAAAACATAAAGACACGTAAGAAACTAACCTTCAAACAAATACATGCAATGTCAAAAAGAAAAACAAAGGAAAAAAGAAAATTAATAAAAGAAACCATCAATAAATATTAGAACAATAACAAGTTATTTCTTAAATCTGATGAGTGATATTACATTATGATAAAGATAAAAATGATGCTGCAATAAACTAAAAACAATAAACTATAAACGTTGCAAAATTTCCCGATTCTCTCAGACTCCACTGATCAACAACAGCAACATATCAACAGTATTTCATCCTTTCTGGTTTTATACAAAAAAATCTTTTAAATATAAAATGAGATCATTTTAATATTGGTTGGTTGTTTTTCTGTTTCAAGCTTTACTTTTAATGTGTGTATTTAGGTGTTATCTAATCTTATCTCATATTAAAACGCAGAAAGTGAATTTCATAAAATGTTTTCTAAACACTTTTGAATGAAGACCATACATACATACATCTACTTCCACTTATTCAGGGCAGGGTTGTGTAACAGCCTAAGCAGAGATGCTCAGACCTCCCTCTCCTGGCCACCTCCTCCAGCTTGTCCAGAGAGATGTAATCTCTCCAGCATGTCTTGGGTCTGCCCCTTCGGCCTCCTCCCGGTGGGACATGCCCAGAACACCTGAGCCAGGAGTCATCCTTTTCAAGTGCCCAAACCACCTCTACTGTCTCTTTTCAATGTGGAGGAGCTGCGGCTCTACTCTGAGCCCCTCCCGGACGAACTCCTCACCCTATCTCTAAGGGAGATGCCAGCCACCCTTCAGAGAAAGATAATTTCCGTCTCTTGTATCCGTGATCTTGTTCTTTTGGTCACTACCAACAGCTCGTGGTCCATAGGTGAGGGTTAGGACGTAGATCGACCCGGAAATTGACAGCTTCGCTTTTACGCTCAGCTCTCTCTTCACCACGACGGACCAGTACAGTATACGTATCACTGCAGCCGCTGCATGAATCCATCTGTCAGTCTTTCACTCCCTTCTCCTGTCAAGTCTGCATCATTATTCTCTTTATTATTGACTATGATACTTTACTTTGCAAATTAACTTGATTTATTTTCAGACAGAACAAAAACATCTCAGTAAACCTCAAACAAACCTCACAAAAACAAGCAATGATGTAAATTAAACTCATCAGAGCTCAGTAAAGTTCAGAAGCTAGAAAACAAACAAACACTCAAACACAATAAAAAAAAAACACAATAAAATGAGCACATATACTGGCAATACGGCTCAACCTTAATTCTGTTAGAAATAATAATTTAATAATTTAGTCACATCTCTTCTGTATTTGAACAATTTATGTTTCTTTTGTTTATCTAGTTGTTATTATAGAGTCAAACCTGAAGAGCTCTGATAATGTTGTTGCCACCTCTTTTTGAAGAAAACACTTCCTCTTAACTTCATCAGGAAACAATTACTTAAGATTAAGAACGAGGAACAGGAAGATTTCAGTTCACTAAATCATCTTATCTGCTCTATTTTATAAACTAAAATAATCTCTCAGACATCAAAAGTCAAATTTTATTGGGTTTAAGGAGTTTGACCTCTTAACTGTTGAAGAAATACATTTCTCACCTTCACCAAAAAATCTGTATAATAAAGATGTGCCATACACATCATTATTATAAATACACTGTGGGAATGGACACAATGAGCATCTGCTAAATATTAATATAACGTCACTTTGTATAAAAAAATTACACCATGAATTTCATACAAAGAGTGAGATATTCATTTATGAAATGTAGACTTAAGGAAAAAAGAGAACTAAAGACATTTCGCTGAGGAAGTGAAATCTCGCAACTGACAGGAAGTACAAAAGTTTTAAGTACTCATCAGTTCAGAGACTGTGACAGTCGAGAGTGAGAACAAGAAAGAAGTGAGACGGAGAAGCACGATGGATGAATTCAGATGGATTCAAATGTTTTTATGTCAGATGCTGATGATTCAGATTGCAGGTAAGAATACAGGAAACATTTTAATAGCAGTTAAAATAAATGTTATCAATATTATTGCCAACACTAACTTTACAGTAAACAAGACAGCTGACCATGCTCTATTTAGAAATTTATATCTAAAATGATCTTCAGTCTGACTGTAAAAAATTCTTTATTCTAATTTATTTTTCACATTTCTCTTTAGTCTCCTCAACAGTATCTCCATATGAAACATTCATTTTTATGAAAGTTGGAGATGACGTCACTCTGACTTGTCTAAACGTGATAGATGAGCAGAATAACTGTGATGGTACTACGTGGACCTTTGCTTCTAGAAACAAACCAACAGCAGTAGAGCTGATCACACTTGGACAGATTAGTGAAAAAGTCAAAACTAAATCAGACAGACTGAGTGTTACAGTGAACTGTTCTTTGCTTATAAAGAAGCTCACAGTCGAGGATATTGGTGGTTATTCCTGTCAAAAATACAAACTAGGAAAAACACGAGATGAAGACACTCTGGTTAATCAGTCTTTGGTTCATCTCTCTGTTATCACCTGTGAGTATTTACATCAAAATATTTTACTATACAGTTCTCAAACATGACAACAATCATAGTTATTAAGATAACTTGACTAATTTGAGCTGTCTTTGTCTCCATCGTTGCCAGTGACTGAACATAAGGACACTGATAAGGTGACGTTAAGCTGCTCTGTGGTGAGAAATGGAGAGTGTCATCACACATTGAAGTGGCTGCTTAGAGGTCAAGATGTGGACAAAGAGAACAAACAAATAGTGATTTCACAGACTGACTGCTCCACTACTGTGTCTGTTCTGAAGTATAATTATTTATACTCATCAAGGGATGAAATACTCAAGTGTGAGGTGACTGATACTAAATCAGGAAGAGTACAGGTGTTTAGCTCACAGCCCTCAGGTGAGGAAACAGGTGAGATCCTGATCAAATGTTTAAAATGACTAAAATCACCTTAAATATTTATGTGATAGAAAAATGTAAAATTTTAAGCAGAAAAATGTTCTTCTATATAAAACATATAAAGCACACTATCAAACAAATTTTGAACCTGTTTTTCCCTATTTTTTCATTTATTCAGTTGACCCAAAAACAACAACAAAAATGAACAGTAAATCTGAAAGCGACACAACATCAGGAACAACCACAATAACAAAAAGTAGTCCTTCCATAACAGGTTAGATTATGATGATTAAGCTGACTAAATTCATCAAAAATATCTGTTTGTTTGGAGCTTTAAGAAGACTTTTAAACTTTTGTTTTTAAATATTTATTTTCCATTTTGTTCCATTACATTTACTTACATTAGAGACATTCAAAATAAGCCTCTTATCTTACAGGAAGCAGAAAATGATCGATTTTTACAGTTCAGTGATTGATTCACCTCTGAATATCTTTGTAGTCATTGGAGATGTGATGTAGTGGAGATATATGTATGTAGTCAGACAGTTTCTGAATTTAACGTCTGAATTTAAACCTTCATGCAGTTCATGGGATTGTTTTTCTCATCAACTCTCATCAAGTTATTGTGCATATATAGCATGTCACTTTAACCGCATTTTGTATGCAATTAAGCTGCATGAAAAGTTTTTCAAACATTTGTAAGAACTTTCATCCAAATATGTTTTTATGTTTCATGATATATTTTTTATTTCAGCTCTTTCATTGTACATCACTGGAGCTGTTGGTTTGGTTATATTGTTAATTACAGCTGTGTTTGTTATCAGATGGAAGAAAAATAAAGGTGAGAACATTTACAGATAAAACGTTTATAGATCAAG